GCTATATTGAATCATTGAGCTATTCTTATAGAATCTGCTCCTATCTGTCAGGCAAATAATGTTTTACTAATCGACATTTTCTGCCAGTCTATTCAAGTAATGTGATTTAAGTTTGGGGGTGCCTTACTGAGGAAGATGCAAATAAGCTAATGGAATGGAATCAATATTGGTTTACTTATCCTATGTAATCAATTATGTCTCATAGTCTCAGTATCTAATCACATTGGGCTACACGGTTTCTAGCTGGAAGGTTGGTAGTCCAGGCTGTTCTTCATTGAATTTAGCTGATAGAATTTGATGATGGAAACGCTGTACAATTACATTCGTCCAGAATTTCTAATCTGGTGGTGTTTTCAAAAGGTAGTCACCTCCACAGAATGGGCTGGAACCATTAGGTTGATGTTAGCTTGAAACTTTTGAAAAAGTCGTTGCATAGCTATAAACCTCTCACTGTAATATTGTTACGCTTGTCGGTAAGAGCGCAAACAATAGATAGTAATAGGCATTATGAGATGTTTCCTATCATTTTCGAGCTCCACAATACCATTTACATATGAGGTTCCCAGAACTTTCTAGTCGGTAGCTTTTATGAGTTTATGCTCAGAGAATACTCCCTTCGTTCCAAAATGTAGGCCATTTTAGTTTTGCCCTATGTCAAACTTCTCTAGCTTTGGTCAGGTTTATAGAAAAATACATTAACATCTACAATACCAAATAAATGCATTATCAATACATATTCCATGGTGGATTTAACAAAACTAATTTGATATTGTACATATTGGTTCATTTTTCTATAAGCATGACAAAACTAAAACGATCTACATTTTGCAATAGAGGGAGTATCTTGCAGCATTGGTTACATGATGACACATGTGATCTAGTACAGTTCTTGTGGTGTGACCAATGAAATAAGATAACATTATTGGTTGCTTATTGGCATTATTATATGCAATCGACATAGATGTGGGGCTTCTGGGAATCAAACAGTAAACATACATTTCTTGTCTTGGTCTTTGAATCTTGTGGTACAAGTCAGACAGGATGGAATTGACCTACCACCTATAATAATATTATCTTTAGTGCCATCAGTACTGAAAAACTAAGTTACCCTTTTCATTTTGTTTTTGTTAAGCTGGTGTATTTATTTTCTGGTCCAAGCACATGCTCGCACACACACAAAGTGGAAAACGTAATCAGACTTCCACCTTCTGATTTTCATGTACTGGCTGATCATATCATGTGCTCATGGACCTTTGCTAGTTTGCATTGTGATGTTGTAGCTATGCCATAAGATATTTAAAAGTTCACCTCAATCGCTTTGTAACTCGCAGTTTGCTTATGTTACCATTTAAAGATGGTATAGCTATGCTATCATGACTCTAGCAATATAAACCTTGTTGGCTTTGGCTCATACTATATCTATTGGTAGATCTGTCTGCACTTCAAATGCATCTCTAGTGTTGGTAAGGATGTGCAGAACCACTAACAAGGATATGGTGCTCATACAATCAATTAGCTCTGCAGCTAGTGTACTGCATTAATTTTTTCTTGCAGCTTACTCAAGATTTCTAGCTTATGTGATTCACCAAGATATAGCTGCAGATTCGTCCAGAACTTGAATCACATCAATAAAAAATCAACACGTTTCATGCCAAGGATGTCTTGAGTGCCTTCTCATCTAAATTTTCCAAAGCACATAACACTGTTTGACTTTTTTTTCCCTTTTTACAGAACACGGTCAATTCATCCCCTTGTTAGAACTTAGAAGAATGCCCTTGTTAGAACTTAGAAGAATGAGTTGTATATGTGCAGACATCTACATCGTTGCTGACTGTGTTTCTGATCATCAGTTAGTTTTCCCCACCTTCCCTCCTAAAATTTATGTTGGGCCATTGAGTAGGAGTTTCTTTCAGTGGGAAATTGTTGATAAATGCTTTTGAACTTCATGAACCTGCATGCTGCACCTTGTATGCTAACAAATCGTGAGTTGCATTACAATGAACGGTCTCTTGAATTCATCACAGACGTTGCCTTCGACTGATGCCCTTAACTTGGTGGAATAGCTTGTCTGAAAAAGTACTTATATTGTTCAATATAATCTTCCAGCTACTACTTTTTCCTGAACCTTTCACCATCTTCTTGGCAGATAAGCAGAGGCCTGGCCAGCTGGCCTGTGGTTGTGTGGTTGGCTCAAGGATTACAGGATGTCAATTAGTAACTACAGGTCTGAGGAAGGTAATCGACAGTGTGGCTGATATGTGACCCTGTTCTTTTTATGTTTCCTCACAGCTTCCAGCTTATATATATAGAAGCTAGTACAATATAGGCACAAAGTAGAATTGCCGACCTACCACTATTTTAGCCACTTCACACCATTCCCAATCGTAGTTGACATGACAAGCCCATTAGTCTATCCAGGAGTGGGTTCTAACTGCTTCTCAGTTTCTGTGCATTGAACATTGATACAAAAACGGTGGTCCTAGACTCTTTGGATACAACTATACAAGGAGTTTCATTTCTTAGTTCCTCATTGAGCATGATTATAACAAGAAGCTGGATCCCTGCACATTTGTAACTAGGCGGTGGTACTAGCTGTGGCTCTGTTAATTAGTTTTCACGGTCTAGGAGCACCGGTATTTCTCAAGCTAGCTCTGGTGCTGTGAGTCATAATCTTGTTCATGTGTCAATGGAACATCATAGCTGACAGTGAAACTGAATAGTTCCCTACAGTCTCCCATATCTGATCATGTAATTAAGTTTTAACCACCGTTCCGTCCAATCCTATGTTGATTCTGGACATATTGACTTGACGCAGGAGCAACGGGTGTCCAAGGGTTTTCTGGCTTGCCGGTTACAGCAAGTCAATTAGTAACTACAGATGGGTGGAAGGCGACCGACGGTATGGCTGACATGAGACCCTGTCTAACTCATGTTTCTTCGTTCCTTCCCTCGTCAGTCGTCACGTCGATCGGGCAAATAAAGTTAGGCTTACGCCTAGGGAGGAAGAAAGCAGGCAGCAGAGCTCGTGCCGACGTGGCCAAAGGTTCACCGGTCGTCGGCAGACGAGGCTATCGAAGGTGAGTCATGAGTGAGCCCCGCCATGCACTGACGGAGTCGCCGCCGGTGCTCTCGTCCGATAGATTTCTCTTTACGTCAGACGATGGGTGCAGCGTATGGGAAGCTGAGAGGGGGGCCGGGGCCGGGCTGGGTTGAGCACCTTGTGCTCAAAGCTCAAAGGCATGGTGGCGTCTGGGGCCGGCTGCAGGCGTGTGCGCACCTGCACGGGCGGACACGGGCGCGTGGCGCCCCCCCACACTGCCGGGGACGGGGACTCATCGTGCCGTGTGTCCCGCGCGAGGTGGTTTTGCGGCCGGCTGACGGAATGGTTGATGGAATCCTTGCGTAAGGACGCAACTGAGGTAGCCCCCGTCCCGTCCCCGTGGGAAACGGGGGAGTGGCAAAGCCTTCTGGCACACCAAACTGTAGCTTTTGATCGTGCATGGTGGGGCGCGTACCTGATGCTACGCCCCTGCTGCACCTGCAGAAACTTGGTGTCACAACTTCAGTTACCCTGCAGAACAGGGCAAACAAAAAGCTAAAGTGTTTGGTTGGAACCCGTCAGTTTTACTGAACTTTTTCACAAAGGAATAGTTCGTCGGTTCCCGTAGGATTCAGTGGGGTATCCATACAGGTCATATATAGCAGTTGAACGTAGAGATTGAAATCTGAGCCTTCATTCAGATTGCAGATTCTTTTTTTTAAAATAAAAAAACATCAACCCATTTGTGTGAATCGGATTGTTTCTTGTGAACCATCAGCTTGCTTGGGAGTTCGTTCATGCATAGCACTAGCAGGCCCTATAACTGGTGTGTTCAAGGATTCTCCATGCGCGCACACAACACAAGCAAGCTATAATAAGGCTGGATTTAAAAGTCGCAGAACAATTCATGACGTGTTTGGAAAACGTTGGTAGCGTCTTTTAATGCTTGATCTAAAGGCTAAGTTATCATACAAGGGCAAAGTTTGTTAGTATTGGACGGAGCCAGGATCCAAAGATAGGGGGGGGCCGGGGCCAACTCGTCAATGGCGCCGAGAGAAAGGAGTGCAGCGAGAGTGAAATTTCCTGGCAGAAGAGGAAAGAAATTTGGAGCGCAGAGGAGAAAGTAATTTTGGAGCACGGGGGGAAGAATTTTTTGGGCGAGATTTTAGCGGCTATGTCACAGAAGAATTTTTCATACATGAGGCAAAAGGCGCGGGAGGAAATGAAGCAACATCCGCTGCACCTGCATGCATATCTGCAATCAAATGGGTGAAAGTAACTGAAGGCGCGAGGAGAAGAAACGTCCCTGCATGCGTCCATGCAAATTTCCTCGAGACCATCCGCAGATTCCGTGCGGTACATGAGTAATTACTAGTGGCTAACGTTGATTAAGAGACATATCTAATGAAGACCGTGGGGGCCTGGCCCCTGCGCGACCCCCCTTGTCTCCGCCCCTGGTATACCTGTCTAGTGCATTGCAAGGGCAGGTAGGACCGTAGGAGGTAGCGCGCGAGAGAGACCGAGCAAGTACGTACTAACCCCCAGGGTCCCGGCCGTGTGTGGGCACGGCCTGCCCCCTCTTTCCCTTGAGCTGCTGTGCTCCGTCGCCATCGCCGCAGATAAAAGGAAAAGGCTCCGAGGAACCAGTATAAATGCGCCCCCCCGCGTGCACGCACTCTCACTCCCCGCAGCAGTCTGCCTGCCACCTGCCCCCTGAGAGGCTGGCTGAGACCTTATTAGCCGCGACCGCGAGAGAGGTTGGTAGTCCGTAGCCGGCCAGCCTCGCTCGCACGCCCTTTTTAACAGGGCCTCGCCGTGAACTCGCGGGCTGCTGCTGCTCGCTCGGTCTCTTGCCGGACGTGCTCGATCGCGGTGGTGGTCACGCGAGCGAAGCCCAGCTCCACGCGCGCGCGCGGCCGAGTATATATATACATACAGGATACAGCTTGGGTAATTAGGGATGGGTCGGCAGCCGTGCTGCGACAAGCTGGGGGTGAAGCGGGGGCCGTGGACGGCGGAGGAGGACCGCAAGCTCATCAACTTCATCCTGACCAACGGCCATTGCTGCTGGCGCGCGGTGCCCAAGCTCGCCGGCCTGCTGCGCTGCGGCAAGAGCTGCCGCCTGCGCTGGACCAACTACCTCCGCCCGGACCTCAAGCGCGGGCTCCTCACGGACGCCGAGGAGCAGGTCGTCATCGACCTCCACGCCAAGCTCGGCAACAGGTACGTCGTGATCATATCGATGCATGCGCATCCGTCCATCCTTCATTCTGTCCACGCCATGCATATGCGGCGTAGTGCATATGGTTCCATTGCTACGGAGAACAGTTCTCATACAGAATTATTTAGCCGTGCACCGTGTTATATTTTATTATGTACTACATATATGACAATCAATCAAGCTAGGTACAAAAAACACGTACAGTATCTGTCTAGGTAGTACTTCACTTCATTCCACATAATGTAAGTGGCCTGCTTTGTATTGTTTTTGTGTTTGGTCGCGCGCAAACCACTCCAAATAACTTGACAACGAACTGGCAGCTTACGTGAGCAGAATATATATATATATTAGCTAGCAAAATATTACATGCGCATGACAGGATCATACGAAAGGCATACGTACGTACGTGGTAAAAGGCGGCGGCCTTTTTTTCCACCACGTGTCCACGTACGATGACAACTACGTACAGCAGATGCTATCGTCCTCCGCACGTAAATAAACAAAGTAAAAAAAAGGATCGATTGTATTGACCAGTGACCAGAATCATATCGTACGCATGTCCCTTATCATTGTGAAGAAATAACCGAAACCCTGGTGGACTCTTGAACGTGCGTCAGTTGCTTGTCAACACACGATAACCAGAATCGTACGCATGTCCCTTATCATTGTGAAGAAATAACCGAAACCCTGGTGGACTCTTGAACGTGCGTCAGTTGTTTGTCAACACACGATAATCAAAAGAGCTATACTGTCCACTGATTGGTAAAACCATTATAGGAATTTCTACAGATGTATCTATCACCAAGTAACCAAGGTCCTGTTCGCTTATAATCCGTGTTTTTTAGCTTATTTTTTTAGTCAGAACAGTATTTTCCTCTCACAACAAATCAGTTTCAGCTTGTTTTTTCAGCAAAACGAACATGGCCCAAATTCAGAGGAGTAGAGCCCATGCATGCACGTGGTACCGTTGTCAAAGCGTGAAACACAGCCGGACAGGACTGGAATCGTTTGGTTGCTCTTTGACGATACAAAGCATGCATAGTCACAAGTAGTACGAAAAACAAGGTTTTCCAACTTTAGATGCTTCCTAGCTCGGGATGCGAGCACGTGAAGACCACGTATTTTTTTTACTGAAAATAGAACAAGGAGTAGCCCTTTTCTTTTTCTTTTTTTTTTGGTGAGAACGGGGTGTTAGACATATTGGCCTGTTCGCTTTAGCTTATCAGCCGGCTTATCAGTCAGAATCTACAGTATTTTTCGCTCACAACAAAACAGTTTCAGTCGGCTTATCAGCCGGTTTTAATACCAGCCAAACAAGCCCTATAATCTGCTGCTCCCATCTCTCTCTTGACTGGTCGGCACAGCTGTTCTCTTCTGATTTAGGACATGGAACTGGTCGGCTCGGCTGACCACTCACTGCTGTTGTGAGGTAGTAGATAGAAATGGCTTACTTCAGCCATGTAGTGTCGTAGAGATGGCTGAGCTAAGCCTTGTATCTTAGGAGTAGGTAGTCGGTGTACTCACCAACAACTATGTAACTTAGGAGTAGGTAGTTGGTATACTCACCAACAACCATATACCTAGTAGAGGTACAACTAGAGTTGTATATATTCCCTCCAAAGATAATGGAAAAACTCAGTCCAGTTTGCCACATCCAAAAGCAGAGCTTTCGGCTAGCGATGGACTTGTGCTGTGTGTGTATGAGCCGTTCTCAATATCTTATTCTACCTCTAGCCATAGTGAGTGAGTGTGCTGGTAAGCTTACTGCTATCTGTGCAGGACAGCCGAGGGACTAACACGAGAATTTAAACTTCCGACCTGTAGGTTGCACTTCTGCTTTCCCTACCACTGCACTACGTGCACGTTCTCAGGCAGTATATAGAAGAGTATGTATGACCATGTAAATACTGTCAGTCTGTCACGCTACTGGCAAACATTCTTTGAATTCTCTTTACGTACAGAACTGACAATAATACTTTAGGCCCTTTTAATTTTGAAAAATGCAAAATAATGATTAACTATACTTTTGGAGTTGTGATTTATGCAGCACAACTTTACTGTACCTTTTCCCTCGTACTCCTTAACTCTTTATAAACTTATATTGTTTTTTGTATATGTGTGTCCGGGTGTATATCTCTCCTTTATTATTTTTATAAGTAACACTTGTGTCCCCCTTGTGAAGGGAATATATATATATTCCATGTGAGTGTTTCATCATCTATGGTTGTAATTAAGGACGTGATCATTTTTCTAGCAGGTCTAGAAATTGTTAAGTTAATTACAGTACTTGCCAAATTATATATGGTGCTCTAAAAGGTTGCATGATTTTATATCTTGAAAAAAAATAGAAGCTCTTCTTAGAAGCATAACATGCGGGTGACCTATTGCCATCGTACGAGGAAACATAAGACATCACATGGCATTAGCTTCATATAGAGATTACGAAGTATATGAGTATGTTTCTTTGTGGTCCTTGGTATGGTCATGCATGTTTCTTACCTTAGCAAAAGGTAATAATGTCCTCAATCACTACCATATACCAACTGAGATGTAGATATATCTTGAAAAAGTTGTAGACACATAAATGGATGGGTGGTGCATGTAATGCAGAGAAAACTTCATGTTCAAAATCTAGAATAATATTGCCCCTATAAAGTAGGTTGTTCTAGGCTAGACATTTTTCTTAAAATAACTTGAGTCTTATAACAATTAGAATAAATTGTCATATTTAATTTGCACATTAGAATTTTGGAAATAGTAGCTCTAGATTTTCAGTTCGTGATGGTGCATACTTCAATTTAAAGATATTATTTTAATTTATTTGCCATAAGTTCCTGGACATATAGTTGGTACCCTTTAATTTGTAAGGGTGCATCATTTCAACGATTTCATAGGTTTTCTATAGGTATGGCTCTGCCATAGTCATAGCAATTCACCAGTGACCATTATAGATTTCCTATATCACTTTCTTGATGTGTAACCTAGAGCACTGGCCACTACCTTGATTTGTGTGGCTAAGAAACCCTACACATTGGATTCGGAAATCGCAGAGCATCCCACTTGGTTCCACTTGCCTCGTTGGAAAATGGAAGGAGCTAGAATTTTCTTTCTTGTAAAGGTCACTCTCTACCAACCACTTTGTTGTTTTGTCACCCTATATATAAAGGCTGCTACCTCACACATTCACATAGCTTAAAGAAATCGATGAGGTTGAAAGCTCGATCGTGACCTTTCATATTGCACTTGAAGCCAGAGAATAAGTTTCTGTAAAGAAAATAAATAAATAAATAAATAAATAAGCAAAAGAATCTGTGTATGACTCGTCACTGTAGTTTCCACAGCAGCGTAATACATGCACACTCGTCTCATTGAAATACAATGGATCTGAATTTGTGCTAAGTCAAACTACTCTAAGTTTGATCAAGTTTGCAGAGAAAAGTATTAACATTTACAACTTCAAAAAGATAAATTATGAAAGTATATTTCATAATATATGTTACGTTGGATATCATAAATGTAAATATTATTGTTCTTTTCTATAAACTTGTTAGGATATTTGACTTAGGACAACTTAAATCCATTACATTTTAGTACGGAGGGTAGGTAATATTGGGTAGAAAATCACGGGGAGACAGGTCAGTCTCAACTTTCAATATCCCTGACATGATTGGGTGTGCTGCTTGTGAAAACGATCGGCAAATATATTGGGCACTCGCTGTTTCTAAAAATGTTTTCAAAAACGAAAGCGCCAATGTATAGTCAATCAAATCTGCCACTAGCTAGATGATCTTTAATTAGTTTGAATATGCATATGTAAGTTATTTTGCGTTTTAGCAACACATTAGTAATTTAGCATACTCGATCTGTTGATTCTCTCATTATTACTCGGACATGCACTGCTCCTCACTCATGTCTTGGCGATTAGACGATTAGATGTGTTATTTAATTTCATATACTTAGTAGTAATACTTTTCATTCCTATATGCATGATTTCGTGCAGATGGTCGAAGATTGCTGCCAAGCTACCGGGCAGGACTGACAACGAGATCAAGAACCACTGGAACACGCACATCAAGAAGAAGCTGATCAAGATGGGCATCGATCCAGTCACGCACGAGCCCCTCGACCGGAAGACAACCAGCAGCAGCCCGGCTACAACCTCGCAGTCAACCAAGTTCGACGAGGCGAACAAGCAGCAGAGCCCGCAGAACGACGACGTCGTCGCAATGAGGGACGTGCCGCCCGATGGTTGCAGCCCGACGGAATCGAGCACGAACACCGTGAGCACCGGCGGAAGCAGCAGCAGCAGCAGCAGTGGCGGCGGCCGCCATGACCCAGATCCGCTGGTGAAGTGGCTCTTGGAAGAGGAGCCTTCCACCGGCATCGAGCCGTGGCTCAACTTCACTGGCAGTGTCGATGTGGACGAGTTCAGCAGCATTTCCGCCGGTCCGGAGTTGTTGCCGTGGGATGGCGCGACCGACTGGCTGCTCGACTACCAAGATTATGGATTGGGGGACTCGGCGACCTTGGTCGATGGCTACATGGTCAACAACAGCTCAAACGGAGCAAAATTCTAGCTAGCTAGCCCAAGATGCCATCTCATCTGCTTGTGTTGCTGCTACTGCCAGTGTACGTAGATAAGTGTAAGTAATAAAAACATTCGTATCGAGGTTGTCAAAGGTGGATGACCAGATCGTAGGGTGATCAGATCAAGAGTCCTTGCATGCACTCCTGGATCTCGACCCAAGCAACTGACGGCTGGGATGCATTTGAGAGGAGGGAGGGGGAGGAGCACGGGCCCATTATAACCTCAAAGGGACATACTTTGGTGCTTGAAGATCTTGAAAGATGTGTTTCTTCACAAAGAGGGGCTGTAGAAGTTATTGCTGTTGTATACATGCTTGCAATACAAAATCGATGCGTGAGTAGGTGTAATTATACTTTGGTGTATATATATTGCTAAATTGCACCTTGTTAGGCATTTTGTTTGCAAATTGCATGAGTCACTAATTAGTGAGCAAAGATGTGTGCTCGAAGAAGGGCGGTTGAAATCGTTTATTTAGGTTATGTTGTGGATGACTTTGATACATTTAATACTCCCACACATGTAAAAAAAATCGATGTTTGTATTATCAAATAAGTATTATCAGATTGATCATAAAATATATTTTTATAGAGAAACGTGGATAATATTCTCTCTATACTTTGAGTTACGACAACACTAGAGTGTCATGTTTAAGTTTTGAGGGTAGATGCATGGAGTAGTACGTACATAAAATGTGAGTAGGTACCCAGTGTGCATTTGCTTTATACATTGGTGTATGTATGTATTGTTTAGTTGCACCTTTTAACTTACATGTATAGCTAATTATTTTTGGTAGACAAAATGTCCTTTGACACAACAACAAGTTTGTGATGACTTCATCAATTTCAAGATATGTCAATTTAATCTCTTGGAGATGTTTATAGGGATAAGTGTGTGAGGCTGTGAGTGAGTATATACGAGCGTATGAGTTGCACCTTGTAGATGTAAGCCATTCTTAATTATGTGCAAATTGCATGTACATATGGTGTTTTACTTAAATATTAGTGATCAAAGATTCCAAGGTACATGTGATTTATTTTTGTGTACAGTTGTTGAGGTTCTAATATTAGTATGTTTTCTCGTGTTGAAGTGTTAACGGTTGGAGTAGGTGACTCACAAGTTCAACGCTGCAGTTGGGTTTGTGATGAGATAATTAGTAAAGTTGCTTGTATACATTGCGCTAGTTGATGAAGACGTGTTTTTTTTACTAAAAAAACTTATGATGATTTGAAGGACGACAAAAAAAAGGAAGGTGGGCAAACGTACGAAAAGGGAAGAAACTGAATTGGCAAAGAACAGAAAGCGAAAAAGATTTGCTCTGACGTGAAATGTAAAAAAGCCTCGGAGATGCGATAGACTTTTTACAGCTGGGTATGTAAAAAAGAACCGAAAAGATAGGAGAGGAGACCCATATAGAGTCATTCATGACAATGAGATGGGCCTCTCTACAGTCTATAGACTAGACCTATATTTGTGTATATGTATACAGCCGCGCCTAAGCTTCACCTCGATTGTGGATTAAGCAAAGTTGCAGGATGCACTACGTACTAATAAAGGTCTTTGTAGTGGCAGATCGACTCCAGTGATGACCAACTCCAGAAAACTGCTGAATTGATCATGAACATGCCAGTACACGGTAGCAGCATTCGTCAATGAGCAGTGGCTGCATGGCCAGATATTCGTACTAGTATGACGGAAACAGTGATGAATAGTTACACCAACTGACGCAGATTATTGTCAGCTTGGTCCACTGTTTCATTGTCAGCTATGATGCTAAGCAACCACCAAATGAACATGAACCCCAATGCAAGTTAAACACTCGGTTCAAATGGTTCCATCCAATCGATGCCTTATATAGCCTTCTATTCAAGGAACATTCAGATAATATAAACGAAACAAACATATATATATTTTATATAATTTTATGCTTCAAATTAATGTTGTCCGCGTATATATGGCGTTGGCGCCAATACGTGCATATGCAGCAAATCGACGTGTTATCTGAAACTGAGTGAGCTGTCTAACTGAAGTTTTGGCAGGCCTTTGCATGTATAAGGAAAATGCGTGCATGCTGCGTGCTTAGTGGTCATCTAGATAGATAGATAGCTTGCTCTGATCCTGTTCTTCTTTGTTATTGGTTGCTAGCTGCTTATGTCTCACGATGCATGATACGTGGATTTCCATTCATGGCAAGTAACAGACGTGTGCAAACTTAACGATGCAAATTTCGTTTCTGCTACTCGTAGCCAGTTTTATATGTCCAATGAAAAGGATGATAACATTTTCGATGTACAAGCAAGTATATATTTAACCGTCCCAGGCACATACATCCATTCTTTTCAGTAGACAGTGAAAGCAATTACTTATTCTGCTGATGACTGTAAGATGGTTCTAGAGAAAGAATCTTAATTAGTCAGTGTCTTTCTTGAGTATTGTGACTTCAAGCAACAAATCTTCCCTACCATGCGTAATTTGTTACAATATGAATGAAGTGTCCCAGTTAACTAAAGGGTGTATGTGGTCATGTTACAATCAATTCGCAAAAAAAAAAAAGTTTATTCTACACTACTGCGATAGTAACAACTACTAGAGTAAAAAACTTCACCATATAAATCCGTGTCTCTTTTTTCTCTGAATCAAAAGCTCTTGCTAATGAACAATGGAATATATAGATGAAATCTCACAGATATATATACTGACGCGTTATTGTGCAATTAATAAAGTGGGTTAAATTTACATTTTCCTTACATATTAGTACTAGATATAAGAGGAATATATAGCAAGCATCTGTGTGTGTGTCTATATATATATATATATATATATATACACACACACACACACACCCAATAATTGTACGCGTCTAGTCAATTTTCTAACCAAATGCCACTTTCATCTGCTGAACATTCAGCGGTCGTATAGTCTACTAGGCTTTGGTGCATTAATTTCCCTTCCGTGACAAAGATAATCGCCCTATTCGCTTGAGGTTATTTAGAACTACTTTTTAGCTATAGAACAGTGTTTTTCTCTCACAATATTTCAGCATAAGCATCAGCATAAGCTAAATTTCAACATCATTCTTAGACCTCATCATCAAAGGACAAACAACAACAGCCTCTAGTGTACCAACTTCGCAAGCGACACTCCTTTTGACCTCTTATAATAAGTACCAGCAATCAAACACAACATGACTATGTAACAGTAACAACATTCGACCTACTGCAATGTTCTAATAGCTAGAGGAGGTGAATAGCCTATTAAAAAAATCTACAACAACACTAAGACAAGTGATTAGTAAATAAGATGGCGAAGCAAAATTTACGCTAGTACTATACTAGTGTTGCAAGCCACCTACCCAATTCTAAAATCTATGGTCTCTAATATATCACAACAAGGCTAAATCACTAATTTACACCTAGGTGAGCAAGCTAGCAAGAGAACTACAACTAAGAGCTACACTAACTAGTTTCAATTACCACAAGGTCTATACAAGTAAAGGCACAATGTAATACAAGAGAGTGGTAGAGAGGTATACCGCCATGACAAGTGATCAATCAATGAATACCAAGGAGACAATCAAGACATAATGATTTTTCCTCCGATGTTCACTTGCTTGCCGGCAAGTTAGTCCCCGTTGTGGCGATTCACTCACTTGGAGGTTCACACGCTAATTGGCATCACACGATAAAGCCGCAACCGGGTGCCGCACAACCAACACAAAATGAGAATCACACAAGCCACGAGCAATCCACTAGAGTATATTTTGGCTTTTCGCCGGAAAAAGGTCAAGAACCCCTCACAATCACCACGATCAGAGCCGGAGACAAGCACCTTCTTCCGCTCGACGATCCTCGCTGCTCCAAGCCGTCTAGGTGGCGACAACTATCAAGAGTAACAAGCGAATCTCGCAGCGAAACACGAACACCAAGTGCCTCTAGATACAATCACTCAAGCAATGCACTTAGATTCACTCCCAATCTCACAAAGATGGTGAATCAATGATGGAGATAAGTAGGAGGGCTTTGGCTAAGCTCATAAGGTTGCTATGTCAATGCAAATGGCCAAGAGAGTGAGCTAGAGCCGGCCAAATGCCTTATATAGGCGTCCCCTCGAAATAGAGCCGTTGGCTCTCTGCTGTCAGCTTCCACGACACGACCGCACGAGTCGGTCGGTTTGATCGGACGCACCACCTCAGAGTCCGGTCGCTGATCCGCTGCCATGTGTCACCGCGGTTCAACGAGCACCGCACGATCCCAACGGTCAACTTGATCACTCGCGCGGTTAAGTCAAGACCGGACGCACTACGGAGATGACCGGGCGCACCCTCGTCTGGAGTCCGGTCACCTCCAGTAAGCATCCAGAGATTCAAAATCGCAACCGGACGCGTCAGGTCACGCATGACCGAACGCGTCGGTGAGTCCGCTCACCACTGCCTCGCTCTGATGCTTGTGTCAGCGTATGTCACAGCATCACCGAACGCAGGCCCTGCGCGTCCGGTCACTTTCACTGTTTAGCATCCGGCCAAAGGACCAAGGGCGGCCTTCACTGCGCATCACTGATCGAACGTGGCTGCTGAGTCCGGTCGTTGCTAGAACAGCGTCCAGTCACCTCGAGACAACCCCTTCTCAACTCTAACTTTGCCACCCTTGATCAAATGTGCCAACCACCAAGTGTATCACCTTGTGCACATGTGTTAGCATATTTTTACAAATATTTTTAAGGGTGTTAGCACTCACTAGAATCTAAATGCATATGCAATGAGTTAGAGCATCTAGTGGCACTTTGATAACCGTATTTCGATACGAGTTTCACCCCTCTTAATAGTACGACTATCGATTTTAAATGTGATCACACTCGCTAAGTGTCTCGATTATTAAACCAAAAAGCTCCTATCAAGTTTCGCATTTGCCTTGAGCTTTTTGTTTTTCTCTTTCTTCTTTTCCAAGTCCAAGCACTTGATCATCACCATGGTCACACCATCATCATGATATTTAT